TGACCTGTTTGATAAAATCATTGTTAAAAGATGAAGTTGTTCTTGATCTGTTTGATAAAATCATTGTTAAAAGATGAAGTTGTTCTTGATCTGTTTGATAAAATCATTGTTAAAAGATGAAGTTGTTCTTGATCTGTTTAATAAAATCATTGTTCAGAGATGCTACTGTTTTTATAATCAAATAAATTTTGCAATAACTATGGAATGAAATTATAATTAAATTTTTTCGTGCATATAAAATAAAATATTAGCAGAATTATCACATATAATTACGTTTTTGACAATAGTAATTGGTAAGTGTTATTTACATGATGAAAATGAAATAAATTAATGGAAAAGAGAAAGACAGTCTCAATTCAATTTTATATGACTATTGCAAATTAAATTATTGATAATAATAATAGTAATGAAGATAGTGATGATGATAATGTTGTTAGTTAAAAAGGAAATCGAAGATGCTAGTAAAGTTTTTAGATTTGAATGAAGAAATCCAAGTTAAATAATTTCAAAATCCAAGCTTTCGAGCTCATAATATTCGGACAAATGATGCAAATGTTGCCTTTTACAATATTGATGATAGCAACAAATTATCGTTCACACTAAAATATTTAAAGTTGTTCTTGATCTGTCTGATAAATTATCACAGGTACGATAATTTTTTTAATTATCGCCGGTATAAGACAATTCATTATCAATGGTGTAAGATAATTCTTCAAACTATCAACTTCTTTAAATTGTCAACAGTATGAGACACTTTTTTTTAGTTATCAACTTTTTTAAATTATCAGTTTCTTTAAATTATCAATAATAACATAGCTCTATGCAGTACTATTTGATCCATATACATATATGCTATGTTTGACAACAAAAACTTTCAAGTTTCAAGCAAAAAAAACACGTTTTTTTTGAACTTTTGCTTCGTAGAAATGTGTATATATGTCAATTGTCGCCATATTTCGTCAAAAAGTATAAGAAAATATGCATAGTGATAAAAGATAGCAATATTGATTAGTTGGAGTTAGAGGAAAAAGAGTTTGGCAAGAGATTTTAATTAAATATTTGAAATTTCAGATCATTTTTTTTTTCAATTACTGTTGACAAATAAGGATGAATCATTTCATCAATCGTTATTCTGCTTTTTATGATTTCTTAAACATTATCCAATTTCCGAGCTTTTCTTTTATCATCTTTGTCCATCATCTATTTTTTCTAGGATTAAAAGAAAGTTTACTTTGTTTTCCGAATATCGAAAATTTACAAGAACATTAAAGATGGAAAGCAAAACAGTCTAACATTTAGAATAAATTGTTGCCAGTTATATCAATGAAGTTATGTTCACTACCCTTTGCATTTGTAGTATTTTATGAAAATTTTAAAATTCAAATTTTAAATTATTATTTTTTTTAATATCGATGTCTAACTTTTTTCTTACGGAAAAAACTTGCAAGAAGAGGTATAAATGATAATTATGATAAATAAGGAGAGTAATATTAATCTAAAATAAACCGAATAAAATTAATAATTTATCACTTTAAAAATAATCTTTAAGACAGGAAGAGAAAGGACGAAGGTAAGGGAAAAAAAAGTTCTATTTTCTGAATAGTTGAAGTGTACAAAGAAAAAAAAGAAAAAAATAAAATGGACAATAAACAAGTAGCTTAATGACCCGAAATTTTTTTAAACAACAATTTCTATTTCAAAGGTAAACGAATTATTCATAATTAATTTAGTGCATATTGACGCAGTATTGACTGATCATTGAAAAGTAACCAGTAAAGTTTGGTTCATATACACAGTATTGGCTGACCATTGAAAATAACCAGTAAAGTTTGGTTCATATAGATACAGTATTGGTTGACCATTGAAAAGAAATAATTAGTATTTTAATCTAGACTGAAAATTTCAATCAATTTCATAGTGGAAGTCTATATTCATATAAAATAAAATTCATCGGATGATACTAAATATCCGAAAAAGGATAATTCGGATATGATGGTTAATTTGGTACTGTATTTTTTTTCTTTTTTTTTTGTATTGCTATCACAGGAATTATCAGGACAAGGGTTATTATTCTGTATTTTTTTCTTTTCGCCGGAATCATATTAAACCGGTAAAATGGAATAGTACAATTGTAGGAGAACAATTCCAGAAGCGCCTAAGAGGAAAAGATCACTATGATCAAAAAATTTTAAGGTTTTTCGGGCTCTTCTACAGGGCCTAAAGTATGCCATTGAGCAATGGGTCTACGTGGACTGGCTAACATATCCATCCAATGTCGTAATTCAGCACCTGTTGCTGAACAACCCAATATACATCGGCCGATTGCATCATTTGAACCCAATTTATCATAATCCATTACAGTTATCATTAGTGATACCTTCTGCAACAATGCCATCATTTTGTTTCATTATCATTGACATTTTTGTATTTGAGAATTTTTTGATAATAAATTTGATTTAAATAATGTCAAAGATTACTTGGGAGAATAGAATTGCAAGGGAAACAAAAACAGATAATATTATCAACTTTCATGGGTAAACTTTTATAATAAAGTTAAATTGATTGTCGAGAAAAAGAAAATTCCACATTCTTTTGCTAACTTTGAAAAATGAAAAGTGAATGATTCCTGCATTTTTTAGAATTTACAAATTAATTTAGCTTAACTTGCATTATTTACTTTATACATGCAATGTGTAATATTCATGCCAAATAACATGTTAACATCTAGTACGTTTAACTTGTAGCATTCATTTTACGCGTAATGCGTAATTATTCACGGCCAAATAGCAGATCAACTCGCATTTTTTTTCCCCTAAAACTTTCCAAATTATTGCAAAGATCAATGATCACCTGAATTTGCTCGAATGGTACTTCAAATGAGAATGATTCGTTGTAGTATGGATTTAGAGTACATTTTTTAATACTTGTTTTCTTCTTTTTTAATCGTTTTCCACCTTGTAGCAATACTATCTTTACGTATGGATCTAAAAAAAAAAAAAAAATAGCCTTGCAAACATTTACATTTAGCAAAGGTTGAATTTGCAAAAAAAGGAAAAACTAAATTAGTGAAAGCAAATTAAAAAACTAAATCAAAAAATTAAATTAAAAACTAAATTTAAAACTAAATTATACATGAAATGATTTTTGCCATTTCTAAAACTCTTAAAAGGCCAAATTGTATAAATGTTATCACAGAATGACAAACTTACCTGATAATCCACCAACATCCATTTTTTTCAAATTTTTAGCTTCCAAAATAACTACTGTAAGTTTACCAGCAGTTGGTACATATCTTAATGAAAAACAAATATCGCCCAAACTTTTATCCTATAATCAGATGAATTTATGTAATTTTTCCAGTGAATTTCAGTACATTTAATTAAAATAAAATAATGTTAATGATGGATATCCAGTGAATACAATAACGAACTAACGGCTTCCTTATCATCAGGTGGTGGTGCAATATCTTTCCATTCCTCAATCACTTGGCCAAGATCTATTTTACCAAGTGGTATTAACACTTGGCCAATTTGATCATGTTTCGAGAAACGATCAAAATCGTACACCGCAAAAACAAGCGTTTTTGATGCTATTTCAACGAATGGTACCTTAAAATGATAAATAAATAAATGATTAAGAATACTGAATGAGTATCATTTTAGTATGAATAGAAAAGAGCCAAGTTGTTAGTAGTATAACCAAAACAGTAGTATACCTTGAATATAAATGTTTCATTGAAAACAGGATTAAGCGTTTTACGATGCACTTTTGTTTCTACTTTTTTCTTTTTTTCCGGTAGAAGATATAGTTTCACATATGGATCTGATGTACCGCTCATATCCATTCCCGGCAAATCTTCTGCTTGTATCACTGTTACCGATAACTAAAAATTCTGCAGCAATTGGTGATAATTTAAATTTAAATCCATAAAATATTTGCGGACTATAAAATGGAATTCATATAATTATTAGCTTTATTTTGGATTAAAAAAACATCTTATTTAGTAATTACGTTGTTTAAAAGTGACATTTTTCCGTTCAATTATATCAAAGAATGTAGTTTTACAATTCAAATTCAAATTTTTACTTATTTCTTCATTAAATTCCTTAGTGAAATTAAGTCAATAAAATTCAACCAAATGGAATTCAATAACGATGGATTATTAAATGTAGATTAGACAGTTATAAAAAAGCTCGAGAAAATAAAAAAAGCATCCTTATGAATCGGTGCACATAAAATTTGAATGATTCAAAAAAAAATTTTGAACGGTTGAAAAAGTCGAAATAATTTTCATCAATATTAGCAGGGCTTTTTTCTCTCAATATTTTTTCGAAAAACCTTGTCCAATATTTAAATGCATTATTGCACCAAGTAATTAACAAATCTAATAATGAATAAAAATTTAGCTTTAGCATACAAGTTTAAAAGTTTTTAAAGCACCTGATTTTGTTGAAAATCATAGTCTAACTTATATTGTAATCTTCCAAGTTTTATCTGAAAAAAAAGAGAAATGACAAAAAAGAATTCAAAGAATAAATTCTATTTCAAATTCGTTCAGTAAATTTCACCAAATTAAAAGATTTTGCAATTTCTTTTCAAATTTAGTTAAAGAAATTTCACTGCATCAAAAGATTCTGTGATCAATTTTTTTGTTTGTCAAAAAATCACTGAAAGATAATTATTTCGAGTAAAATTATATCATTTTCATATTTTTTGAGTATTCATTTTTAATGAAAATTACTTAATGTTTGAAAAATGAATAGCAAAAAGTTAAATTTTGTGTAATTTTAATTGAATATAAAAATCTTCACTTCTTCTTTTTCTTCTGCTTGTTCCTTCTCATTTTGTTCCATATTCTCTTCTAATTGCTCTAAATCTGTTGCAAGCTAAAAAAAAAAGGAACATTTACGAAAGTATTAATTTTACAAAAGATGCATATCAATTTGCGAGGAAAATAAAAAGAATTGGCTTAAACATGAACAAGTATAATAAGTATAAGTGTATTAAGCAAATACAAGTTTACATTTAAAATTAAATTTTTCATTAGTGTTGACAATCAAAAAACAAAAACTTTTGTCACTTCATTTTTATCATTCTCAATAAGATCAGCGCAATCCTTCATTTAGAACTGATAATGAAAAAAAAGTAAAAATTTTATCACCTTATTTTGATCAATCGTGATAAGATCAATGCCTTTTCCGCCAAAAAATCCTTTCAATCCTTTTTGTTTTTTTTCACCATGTCGTTTCTTCCCAAATAATTTCCGTATCAGAAGATAAGCACAACATAGAATTAGTGCAAGGCAAATTATGCCAAAAAAAACAAATACCCATTCTGGTACTGAAATAGTTTGTTATTGTTACTGTTAAAAAGTGAACTTTGATCTTTTGCAATATTTCATCAACCATTTTTGTGCTAAAAATTATTAACTTTCTTTGCAGTAGCTAATAAAATTTAAAATTTAGCCATGAATTATGACATATGGCAAAAATTTAAATGATAATTCCAATGCTTGACATTATTCTTCATATCATGTTAAAAAAAAAGTATGCAAATATTTGGAATTAATTTAAAAATGAAAAAGCTATCCATAATGATATTGTCTTGCAGATAGTTCGAATATTATACGATAGTCTTAAGTTATTTTTAATCACTATTTGACTGAAACTTTCAAATTCTTTAATCATTATATTTTTCCGTTTATACAAATATAGTAGGGTCAAAGATTAAAAAATACTAAGAATTACGTATAAGTAAAACTAACAACTAATCGTTATGCTTCTGTTTATGCAAATATAGTAAGGTCAAAGGTAGAAAAGTATTAAAAATTTAAGTATAAGTAGGATAAAGAAGTGATGGTTATATTTTTGAAAATTATAAACAGATAGGTAGGATCAAAGATTAAAGGAAAGAATATAAGTATTGAAAATAAATTATAAATTAAAACTAACAACCAGTTTTTGCCATTACTTTTGCTCGAGCAATATCCGAAAGTGTTTTTGCTTTATCACCAACAAAATTTACCACCGCATCTTTTAATGATTCTTTGTTTGTTGTTGTTAATTGTCTATAAAAGAAAAAGTTGTGGGATTATTTGTCATATTTATAACAAACAAATTGTTAAGGTAAATATTCATTTCTATTCTTATAAAAAAAAAGAAAAAAAGTGGAATTGATCGAAAATTCGTATCATTCAAAAAGATTTTTATTTATGTGTCAAAAAAAAAGCGAATTTTTGTTGACATGGATAAATTTCAGTTAAAAAAAAAGTAGAATTTTAAATTATGACGTCAAGTAAATGTTGATACAGGTAGATCATTCTCAACAATAGCAATGTTTACTGATTATCCAGGTGAGCATTATTTCGTATTTGTTTTTAAATAGCAGGAAGACACTAAGGTTAGCAATTGTTAATGGGTGGAAAGGTTTTGTCAATCAAACACTACAGAAGATGAAGGAATTTTTTCGCACAATAAAAATGTTTATTGATTATCACTTGGATAATGTATAATCAGTAAACATTTCTATTGAAATAATTTTTAATTATCAGTGACTTGTTATTTCGATAATTTTTGATTTAATTATCAATAGATTTTGCCTAGAAAAAAATTGATTTATAATTCATTTTGGGAAAGGCAATGTAAGAAGTATGGATAAGAGCTAATTCTAGGATTGGAAAAATGAATATAAAAAATTAAAATGCAACATAGGATGACGACTGCTATTACAACTGTTAGGAAATAGATAATAATCGCTGTCTTTTTTTTACGAGACCTTTTTGAACTTTTCATTTAATTAAACATTCAGTTGTGACCTTTGCGGTCAAATTACTATTATTTGATTATGCTTAACAATACTAAGAATTGCATATATTAATGATAAACTAATATGAGAAATAATGCTAAAGGATGGTATTATTGATTGATTCCTTTAAATTACTCGAAAGAGATCGTAATATCATATCCTATTATTCGGTCCTGAAATTAATATCAGATAATGTGCCTGAATTAGGTAAATACCTTGTGATAAGAATTGTCACCCTGTTATCTTATAATAAGAATTCTTTTCTGGGAAAATTAATTAATCTTTGCTTCAAATGAAAAATTAAATTGATGATTAGAATTTACACAATCGCTTCTGTACTCGTTCGAGCGGCTCTAGTTGAAGGAGCAGTTGTGATGGCGACATTGGTCGTTTGCACCAACATTGGTTCATCTGGTGGTTCATGTTCCATGTTAAGCTCATTGCCAAATTCAAGTTCATCATTCAAATCGATCTTCACCATCTTCTTTTCTTGGTCTTTTGACTCATTCACCAGTGAATAATTCTACCACATATTGATGTAGTTTACAAAATTAGTGAAAAAAAATCAATAAATCAAATTTGTTCAATCAATTTCGAATACAATTCAAAATGAAACAATAATGTCGTAACAATAATAAATGTATCACTATTTGATGTCATTATTACTTAAGCAAAGTGTCATCATAAATTTTATCTTGTTTACAATATCAATCATAGATATCTTCAAATTTTTTGTTATCTATAAATTAGTAAATGATCAAGATGTCACAACGAACTGATACTTTTCTCTTGCCATATCATTTCCCTTATTGCAACTTATCAGTTATCTTTTACTTTCTTACAACTTATCACATATCTCTTTACTTATGATAAACGTATCACATGTTATGAATTATTATGAAATTTGAGAAAGAAAAAAAAAAGAGAGATGGAATAGAATAAATGGATATTTCATGAGAGAGAAGAGGAAAAAGAGCAAAGCAACTATGTTAGTCTATTTTAAAGGAAAAAAAAAGGGCAGATTGATTAAATAAGCAAAAAAGTAAAAAGGGAGGAAAATGATAAAAAAAAAAGGAAAAAGAAGGAAGGGTATAATAAAGTTAAAAGGATGAGAGGAAAGATTGAAATGACACATTAACTTATTTTATCAAATAAATTGTCCGACAACATCTCGCGTCATTCTTTATTTACTGATTAGCTAACCTTTCATTTATTTCAACAATTATTCTACAGAACAGATGGATACGGTAGCATTTATTTCTCCGAACAATATGGATGGATTAAAACAAAACTTTGGGAAATTAATATGAATATTTTTGTTAATTGAGAGATATTAGATTAAATGTTTAAAGATAATCTTTATTATTAGCAATCGGAAATATATCTAACCGGATACGATTATTGTTTAGATAATGAAATGATTCCGATGAAAAATTTGACCTATGAACTTTTGCAAGCATAAATGTAAAAAAACATAAAATTATATAGTCCAAAGTATATACATACCAATAATTAGTATATATATATGGTCCTAAATTATATGCATACTTATTAAATACCAAGTATATGCATACTTATTAAAAAAGCAAATCTCTTCTTGGTTCCTTACTTATACTCTAGTATTACAGTATCACAGTCCTGCAACAATTGAAATCAGGCATTATAAATGATTTTAATAACTGTCAAACTCTGATATTGTAAGTAATTCAAATACTAAATGGATGCATGTGTTTGATGATTAAAAATTCAAACAGAAATGGGTAAAAAGAAAAATGAAATGAGGAAGATTTTAGGGAAAAAAATCGAAACTATGGGAAATACGTTTTATTTTTTAAATTGAAATTATACGCAGAAATGATTGCGATTGAAGCATTTTGTTTTGTTGATTATTTGAGAAGAAAAAAAATAAAATGAAAGGATGAAAAAAGGAGGAAATAGTATTTCGTGCTTCATCATGATGATATTTGAAGTAAAAACGAATTTGAATGATATGGTTCTATGATTTGAATGAAAATAAAACCATGAAATTTTTTTTTTCTTTTTTTAAATAAGCAAATTTTTCCTTTTGCTTCATTTTTTCTTTCTCTATTGTCATTTGAAAAAAAAATCGAAAAAATGATTGATGAAATGATAATATCGATTAGAAGGTTTAAAAAACAATTTTAGATTAAATAATGGAAGTGACGGTTTCGAAGTTTGGAACACTAAATCCGTTGGTTATTAAATGCATCAAGGACTAATTCGATTAAAATTTTCGAAACCTTCTATTACAATAAAACCAATGGATTCCTTATTGCTACCTGATAACACTAAAGAAGGTACATGGAGTTAATTCAGTTTAAATTGTCGGATTTAAATAATCGAAATTATCAATTTGAATTATTGAGGTTCAAACTAGTTTCATCAAATGACACAAAGTGATATGACATCCATTGATGATAATTGCATTGCTACGGGGAAGCAACCTTTTTTTCTCTCTCTTTGAAAATGATAACCGTTTTCAGCTATTCAAACAATATTAAACATGAAATTACTGCATATTTCAGATTTTAGAGGTCAATCATAAGCATTAAATGTCATTTTTTATTTTTTTTCTAAAGGACACGTTAGTTACTATTAATACATTAGAAAATGATCTGATTATTCTAAATTTTGAACATTTTTATTCAACGATGCAAGAGAAAATGAGATAAAATCAAAAGGACAATGATCAAACATTTATTAAATGAATGCTGAATTTAGGTTTAAATCTGAATTGAAGCGAAGAAAATGAAGAATCAAAGCATCAAGTGAAAAAATGAGCCAAGCCTGGATGATAGCACGTGAGCAGATAGCTTAAATATGGGAAATTTGAAATGCAGAATATAAAAGACATTGATAGTAAGGTATATAGCATGAGGTTGAAGAAGGATGAGAGAAATAATCACAAGTTTGTTTTTACTTTTGCCTATGCTAGCCTATAGCATTCGTTAGCTAGTTTTCTCATGCTGATATCCAGACGATGAAAACTAAGGCACTCAAGCCTTAGTAGCAATGCTCCCTTGACAATCACTAAAAGCCTTTACCCAATAGATTGAAAAATACATCCGTATTGACTATCTCTTCATCTTTTCCATATATATGCCTAAAGCCCAAGCTATTTTCTGTCTCAATTATAAAAATCGAAATAAACGAGAAGCCAGGAAGTAAAAGCTTTCTGCAAAAAGCTGTGCAACATCACACTATATATCTGTCGTCCAGAAAAAAAAAAGCTTGGCTCCAAAAAACCACAAAACAGACTTGGCTTCGGAAGAATTGATGATTTTAAGGTGAGAGGAAAACAAAGAGTTAATTTTGCGCTCAATCGAAATGGAACGGAAAGAAACGAAGAATTAGTTGGAATTTAGCAAATATATTTGTTGAGGATAGATAAGCGCATTAGTGCATAGATTTCTAATCAACCCGCGCATACCATAAAGACTTCAAATCCCCCCGCGTATAGCGGAAAGATTTCTAATTACCCCGCGTATAACGGAAAGATTTTTAAACGACTTGCGTATGCTCTAAAAAAGCAAAATATTTGCATACTTATCAGAGCATATTCTATTCCTTTTTCTCTTCAAAAAAAAAAGCTAAAGAAACGCTCCCTTTAATAATCGCTATGACAGTGATTAAAGAGAATTTCCAATTGATTTCATTTCAGCTGGGATTGGAATAATATTTAGATTCTTCGGCAAGATATCAAATAACTTATAATACATTATGATCTGAATGAATCGAATAACCATGAATTTGGCATAAGTATTATAATAACAACAAACAATCCTTTCTAGAAAAAAATTATTTGAACCAAGTTTTTCATTGTTCGCTTTTATCCATTATCATTATCATTATTATTTTAATTAGAAAAATACAATATTATTATCATTACTAATAACTTTATTATTA